ATTCGTATAAATAACATACATAACATATATAAATATTTATAAATATGTATAATCATATATGTATGAAATATAATATATCTATACATAGTCATATATCTTTCTTTCTTTTGTAAAATTTTTAGTATAAGAAATAATAATGTGAAAATATTAAAAATAATTAAATGGGTAATTTTTACACTATTTGTTTTAGAAGAAAGTTTGAAGAAATGAGTTTGAAAAAATTACTTACGTATAATTATCTAATATATAAGATTATACATAAGCATTTATGCATTGTGAGCAATTTTTTTTACATTTTTCCAAACTTGTTTTTTTCTAAAACGAACAATGCAAAAATTTCCCTTTAATTATTTTTAATATTTTCACATTATATATATTTCATATTATTTCTATTATATTAAAAAGTAATTTTATAAAAGAAAAAGGGAACAAGTATAGACATATTTCATATATGATGATTATACAAGTTTATGAATATTTATGTATATTTATACATATTTATACATATTCATGCATGAACAATTTTTTTACTGGGATGCTGTTTGAAAATGTTACTACTATACTTAATATACTGATTCTTTCTAGTTATGCTCTCTTTAAATAAATAACAGAAGCACAAAAAGTAATAAAAATCTAGTAATAATGACCTTTATCTTGTTTTTCAAACATAAAAATTACGTAACGTAAAAATTAATTAAAATGGTAAAAGATACACCGTTAAAATACCTCAGTGCCAAATATTGTGCCTGAAAGTATCCCGATTGTTTGTCCAATTATTGTAATTAACAGGGAAATTCCCCACACTCGTAAAATTCTATCATATTCCATTGGCTGTCCTGTTATATAGTATGATATAAGCGTGAAAGATGAGGCGCAAAGTATCTAAAAAAAAAAACGAATCTTTAATTGATTTAAAAAGTCACGATAACATATTTATATAGTTATGATCTGATTATAATCTTTAGTTATAACTTCATATCTGAAAAAAATAATTAATAACAAAGTTATAATGCATTTAAACATACTTGTATTAAGAGATCCGATATTATTTTTACACTGTAGTAGGATCTTAAAGAGTACCAATTGTTTAAATGTTCTCGTAAAAATACTGTCGCTTCAATGGGAACTACAATCAGATGCATTAACTTAATACAATTTATGAAATTCATAAAATGCGTTTATAATAATTATAAACACGATAAATTGTAAAAACATTATCGAAGAGATTTATTAACTTTTTAAAAATATCAAAAAGATATATTGTATCGATATTATATCGATAATTTAATTATTTGTCAACAAGAGATGCAGTTTACTTGGCGTTACAAATGCTTCGATTGATTGATTAATCAGAAAAAATTTTACTAACCAATGAAACATTTGTAGCATCAAGTAGATTATAGTCTATATCACATAAATTATATAGCGCATTTATGTATACATTCATGCGTAGAAGAAGAACATATATTACTTACAAATTTGCACTGCCAATATAGCATTTGTAAAGTATAAAAATAATAAACAGAAAAATAAATAAGCGATGTTGCTGCCAACTTTTTCTGCGTCATCACCGAAATTATAGAAAACTGTCCCTAATAATAATGCGATTATGATATGTGTCACAATTCTTAGTTTTGTTAAGATCTGAAAAATTAATCAAAATGACACATTTTAACATTTTAAACAAATTGTTTGAATATTATTTTCGAAAGTTTTTACTCACTCTATCTCGCTTGATATAAATTAAAGATCGTAAAAATAAAATCTTTTGCTGTTGCCATGTTGACTTCTTTTGTATTATGCTATTTATAGATGCGTCTGTATCTTTTGTTCCACATTTTTGTTTGAAATTAATCGATAAATCCAATTCTATAAAAAAATTAATTAAATAATTAGTATTAAATAATTAGTTAATTTAATTTAATAATAATAGTTATTGAATGACAATTATAAATTTTAAAGCTCTATGTATTTAAGTTTAACACTATTTAAGTGTTGCACGAAGAAAAATAATTTTGCTGTTATAGCAAACCTGTTATTGCTATTGTATATTTGTAATGGCAGCGATAAAATTTAGTTGGTAAAACTAATTTTAGAAATTACTTGTTGTTAGAGTAGAAATCTGTTTTGCTAAGATAGAAAAAATTTGCTATCTGTATTTAACTAAAGTTAATTTGCTGTTAAAGCAAAATAATATGTTCTTAGCAATATTTTTTTACTATTATACTTATACAAAATTACTACTGCTCATTCAAATCCATTATGACAGCAAAAGAAATTTGTTATTGTAATCGTATTGTGTTATTACAGCAAAACTTGATTTGTTAGGATGCACCTTCTATCTTACGTACTCTCAAATAATTGTTCATCTCCTTTCTGGAATCTTCTGTTATAACGTCATGAAATGTGTTATCACGAATGATCTCTTAATACCTTATTTATTTTCATTTTTTTTTATTATTCACATTATATTTTATTCAACGTGTATTCATAATGATACGAAATCTGCTGGACAGTTGGCAATTGCCTAAAGAAATTATTTCAAAATTAATTCTTACTATACAGGTCAAAGTAATCGAGCGATTCCTATTCGTGCAAGTTTTTTTGAATATTTCGATAATTATAAATTAGACTACATTTTATTATTTTCCAAAATAAAGTTTCAATATTTATTTTAGAAAGTTGAAAATATATTAGTGAATTTTTAGAGATTTTTTGAACCATTTTAAATAGATAAAAAAAAAAACAGATTTAGTGATCCAGTTTGTACGGATATACAAGGCACCAAATTGTATCTTGTAATGTAAGAAAATATACGAAATCTGCTGGAGAACTTGAGGAATGTCTGAAGAAATTATTTTAAAATTAATACATCTTTTTAATACATCTCTCGATCATATTTTGTTGCTTAATCAAGAGATGTATTAAAAAGATGTATTAATTTTAAAATCATTTCTTCAGACATTCCCCAAGTTCTCCAGCAGATTTCGTATATTCTTTTAGGAAAATTGTTTTGTTCATACAATTAAAATATGTCATTAATTTAATAAACATATCTTGCTACAATAGCAAATTTGATTGATTCGTCTAATTCAAATAAATTGTTTGTAGAACGAAATCATCTTGCTAGTTCTTCAAATACTTTGCTTTTGTAGCAAATTGTATTGGTGCAACAAAAAAGATTAATTAATTAAACAAAAATTCATTTATTTTTATAGCAAAATAATTTGAAGTTTTAGCTTAATTATATCCAGCAAATAGCAATCAGTAATTTTAACAAATCTCTTTGCTGTCCACATATGTAGTAACTGATAGATTTTGCCACAATAGTATAAAATCTATGTCATTATTATATTAAATCTATGTAATTATTTTTCTCCATGTGGGCGAGGTCAAGTAAACACAAAATTTTCAGTACATAACAGTAATTGTTATAAAATATATATATTATTGTATAACTATTACCCTTTTTATTATGTTTATTGCGTAATCTAAACTTTACATATTCGTCACAACAAATTTTGTATAGATTTTCCATATCTCCACCCTTTTGTTCTGTTACTACCTCAAGCACTGTAATTAGAACACAATTAATTGTTTTTCGCTTTTTTAATTATTAGATGTTTTTAAAAAATTTTAATTTTTAAAGTGTAAAATAAAGAATTCAGCACCTATAAGTGTGACTTCAGTATATTTTAAAATGTAATTAACACTTAAATTATATTTTAAATATAATTTAAAAATATAATTTAAATATCCATACGTGGGTCGTTTGATAAGTTTGGTAAATTTCCAAGAAATGGCGCTACAATCCATTTGATGACGCGACATCTCGAAAGATCCACTCTTCGAACCCCTTCAGGCCAAATTTCAGCTAGAAAGGACGCATAGTTCACGTTTGGTAGTCATTTGAAGTAGGCTGTCTCAAAGTCTCATTGACGGCGACATGACTTCCTCATTTGAGGATTTCTTCCCACCGAGCCAAGTTTTTAAATTTGGGAACAGAAAGAAGTCACACGGGGCCAAATCCGGAGAATAGGATAGATGAGGAATCAATTCATAGCCCAATTCGTAGTTTTGTCATTGCAACGGTCGACTTGTGAGACGGCGCATTGTCTTGATGGAAGAGCACTTTTTTGCGCGCCAATCTCGCTTCAAATGACTACTAAACGTGAACTATGCGTTCTTTCTGGCTGAAATTTGGCCTGAAGGAGTTCGAAGAGTGGATTTTTCGAGATGTCGCGTTATCAAATGGATTGTAGCGCCATTTCATGGAAATTTACCAAACTTAACGACCCACGTATAACACAGATCAAGGGATGTTTTACAGAACGTTCTGAAAACATCCCAATGTTCTGAGAATGTTCTCAAGAAAGTCTTTGGGATAAAGAATGCTGTATAGATATGACTGAATAAATTTTTTGAATATACACTTTTTACGAAAAACTGGATCAAATATTTTATTATAAAAATAATATTACTATATTACTCATATATAT